TAAACAGCTGACCACTCACCCCATCTAGTACTGAGATCAAGAACTAGTGTCATCTATACGTTCTCCCCACCCAAGCGCCAACGTGGCGTGTAGCGGGACAGATTTATTTTTACAAGTTGTGGTTCTTGTGAATTAACCATCTTCTTGCGTCTGAGCTATTTAAATGTTTTCTTCTGCCTTTTGAATTAAAATGCGGTGTTCATATTTAAGTGGATTCGCAGTTGCGTTGTATTTAATATAAGCCTACAATTGTAATCAGAGCCACTGAGATGTGGTAAAGTGAGCGGGTAACATTGCCTCAAGTTTTTGTACAAAAGAAAAAAATAACAGTAAGCCGAACTAGAAAAGCTTATTTCACCTTCCCTTATTCCTTTATTTTATTAAGTTGTATTTATTTTCGTTATTTTTGCAGGGACGTACACTCACATATTTATGAGCCGGAATAGCTCAGTCAGTATAGTGTCTAGCTACGGGCTGGACGACCGGGGTTCGATCCCCGACGAGGGCAGAGGATTTTTCCTCTAGCCTCTGCGTCCAGACCGGCTCTGGGGCCCACCCAGCCTCCTCTCCAATGGGTACCGGGGTCCTTTCCCGGGGGTAAAGCCGGGCGGGGCGTGATGCTGACCACTCACCCCCATCTAGTGCCGAGGTCAAGGAAGAGAGGAGCTATACCTCCTCTCACCCCAAACGCCTACATGGCGTATAGTGGGACTAACTTTACTTTTTACACTCACATATTTCATTCATGTGTTTTGCTTCTTTGTGGTTTATTTAACTGCAATGGCAACTTTTTGTTCCGCCTGCATTAATAATCAGCAACTCTGCATTTTGTAATTATAGGCTGCGTGTGATTCTCAAACGATTAAAATGGAGGACTCAACACTATCAAAGCTTCTGACTGCAAATAACGGCATTGGCATACATCTATGTCGAGCGGGATCAGAACCCGTGACTGCGGTGTTGGAGACTGGGTAGCCAAAGTAATCGGCTCGAAGCAAAAACCTTTCTCTGTTAGCGTCTGTCGCTCATATCTAACCAGCGAACACACTCTTGTACACGGTCTCCCGCAGGGAATGTGTGGGCGATGGTCGGGACTGCAATGCATCACGAGTCCCTTTCAGCTTCGTCGCTCAACAGAGCAGTCAGAAGGCTGCATAATGGCCCAAGCCATAGCCTATAACTATACCACAAAGCGACAGATCCTGGCGATATCCGGAACCACCTAGTACCTTGGTCAAAGCGGAGGCTTTCCTCTCCCCCGGTCATTATCATTGTGCGTCAGGGACTCTCTCGATCTTCTCCAGACCTGGGATCACAGTAAGTTAAATACAGGCATACCTCGTTTTATTGCGCTTCGCAGATATTGCGTTTTATTTTACAAATTGAAGGTTTGTGGCAACCCTGCGTCGAGCAAGTATATCGGCGCCATTCTTCCAACAGCATGTGCTCGCTTCGTGTCTCTGTGTCACATTTTGGTAATTCTCGCATTGTTTTCTTTCAGACATAATGCTATTGCACACTTAATAGACTGCAGTATAGTGTAAACATAACTTTTACAAAGATTTCCGTCTTCTGGGTTGTTGCGCTGTGTAGTCTGGTCGATGTTTACCCACTCCTCAGAGGTCATACTGCCTCCGTCATCGCCCTGATGACGGAGGCTGTATGACCTCCG